GAATGAGATATTCCTTAATACTATCTAAAGTAGAAATGTAAGGGGATGGCAATTTTTAGAAAATAGTATTTGCTCCTCCAAATCCATATTCACAAAAATTTACATTACAATAGTTACACCTCCTGTAATTTTTGGAAGCTTAGCTGTTCTAAAAGCAAAAATAAAAGTTATCGAATTTTATATTAATACTAATTAAGACAATGATAACTTTAATTTAACCTCTAAGGATATTTTTAATTAACGAAAAATTAGATAATAATACTTATTTTTCATATTGTCCTTTTTAATTTTAATCAGGTAGTTTATTATACTTGTATAATAAAGCTTATTATTTTTTGAGTAATAAGTTTACTATTTAACATCACCCATATACTTAACTTAAGGATTTTCAACTAACACTTGGATGACAATAGTTCTAAATTAATGGGATCCAAATAATTTTGATAATAAATTTGAATATCTTAGAATCTTTTTTCGAAACCATATAATATTAAAAAAGCTTGAATTGATTCTTCACATCTTCAGATTAAAAAATCATTACTAATATATCTTTGCCTTTTAATTAATCATCCACAATTTTGAGTATTTATCTATCTCCACATTCATGGTTCCACTATCGATTGCAGCATAGGTGATCATTATGTTGTTAATTAATACTTTTATAGCTCCTTCATATCTTTTTATACTATTTTAGATAAAGATATTTAAATATTGTATATCTACAATAGAGTCTTTTTTATAATATTCATCTTTTGTAGCTTAATCTCATTTTATTTGTTTGCAAGATGTTAACACTTCTTTTATATGATCTGTGTCCACTCCAATTTTTGATACTTCTCTTACAAATGCTTAAAAATATTATTTTACTTAATCTGTATCCCTTTAATTTCCATAAGAAAATGCTCATTGTTGATTATGAGATACTAATACAGAAGTGAAAATAAAAAATTAAATCACTCTCAATTATTCTATCACCCATTTAAATGATTGTTGAAGTCTTCAACATAATTTGCTACTGCTAAACCATTATAATAAAGTAGTTTAATTACTCAGGTTTTTCAATTTTGATAAGATCTTTTCCAATTATGCTGTATTGTTATATATTGTTTGATTTTGTTTTCAATCATTTTATGTATTTTTCACAATTAATCATAATTAATTGGCATACCAATATGATAATAAGGCTAGTTATACAAATTTTTTATGAAGCATTTGTAAATAATGTATATATAATCTAGATTGTTAACCAAGAAAATATTTAATAATTCCATCAATATTATTAATTTTTAAATTGACAAAATAACTTAAAATTTAAATAGGAAAGTTGAAACAATTAAATATTGTAATCATATCAAATATAAATTTTATTATTAACATTAATATTAAAATAAATATATTTCTTAATATTCTAACTTACTATGCTTTGTGTTAATATATTAAAGGGGTTCTAACCTTGGAGGAATTAATCAATTTTATCACTAATTGCTCAATGAGAAATTAGATCGATACATTTATCAGGAAAGTCAATCAAAATTTTTTTTTAATTCATGATATAATGAATTTTGTAATTCATAAATGAAGATAAAAAAAAGTAAATGAATTGCTAAGAAATAAGGAATAGTATTTCATCAAATAATACAAATTATCTTAATAATGCAAATAAATTTTAAGAACACTTTACCAAATAATTTTGGAAGACTATTCGAGATGCTAGAATTTAATTATTATGGCCTTTAAGAACATAGACATAGTTCGGATATTGTCTCACAAGAGAATTGAAATTATCATTAATCATAGGCAAAAATATATAAGTATTTGGATGTGACTAGGAATATCAAATAACACGGATACGAATATTTTTATGAACATAAAAGGGGGATAATATTTTTATTTTTATTCAAAGTGGGATTGCAAATTAAAAAAATGACATTTAGAGTATGAGATTTTATAACATTTTATCACTTAAATTCACATTTCTTAATACTTTTCATTGAAAACACGATTCTTAATAATAATTCTCAATTTAAAAAAAATATTTTAATTAAGATATTTATTACTTTGTTTTTAGGAATTCATTAGATACGATGCAAACACATTTAGATCGTTCCAAATTACCAATAAAGGATTCTATTGTTTTAA